AAATATTTGCAAGCCCGTCATTTTCAGTGAAACGGAGATCTTTAGAGCCAACCAGGAAAAACTGCCCCGAAAATGCAAAATAATTTGTAAATCATTGCGATTAACTAATGCATCTTACTTACTGTGAACATGAAAATAAAACAACTTTCAATTAAACTGAACACTTGTAAAATTTTTAAACTCCATGTGATTAGATAGTTTTCAATAATTGCCAAGCATGTCAAATGAAAACCAGAATTGTTCATAACAGAAAAATTCATAATGTTTTCAATGAGATAATCTGAATTTGAAAATACTTACTTCATTGGGTTAGAGTTTATTGAAATCTAATTTTTTTGCCATCGACATGTAATGATCAATATATTTTGATACAATTGTAAAATCTTTATACATTGTATTTTCTGGAAAACAGTAAATTAAATTGCTGTGGCTTAACCAAGTTGATTCAAATTATCTCTTATTTAGCAATATAATTGATGATCGCGTTGCAAAGTCTTGAAAGTCTCTTGTTTCATTTTCCTTGTATAACTTGTGTTACATTTGTAAGTTCATCTCGTTTCTTTGAAATGATTGAATATTTTAGTTTGTTTAATAATCGTTTTTCATTTTCAAATGTTCAACGTGCATGAAACATTTGTTCAGTAAATTTGTTCTCTTTTATACAACCTTGGAAATTAATTCAAGTACGAAATGTCGATTGCTATTTTTAATTGTTGCCTACAAATTTTGAAACGAGCTTACATGATGTTTAAGATTGTTAAGAGATGGCGCTTTGCGAATGATTAAAGTTATGATTGATGACTTTAATTGTAACAAAGCTGCAGTTTAATTAGTAAATTGAATGGAAACGATAAGCGAAATTGGTTAAAATCAAAGAAATTGATGATGCCAAGAAATCTAGAGATCACTGTAATGCTACATTTTCATAGCTCTTAAAGATTTATGTAATAATTTTATTAACATCAAAATTGATGATCCAACTTTTTTCCACTCATTTTTGCTTCCACTCATAATTTGATAATATTTTGACAGTATCAACTTTTATTGGGTCCAATACCTTGGATAACCTTTATTATCACGCCTTTGGCGTTACAGTGATGATACTTGACTAGCATAATAAATTAATTTATCTTTGATTATTTCATTTTTATATGTTCTTCAAATCTTGAGTCTAATCTCCAACCCGTTACCAGTGTAGAGGCAACATTAAAACAATTAACAGCAGTGATCCTTGGTCTCTATCTTGGTATAAAATATATGTTCATTATCTGAATTGTTCATTACAACAGGCACAATAATCCTTCAAAAAACTGAAACTTGAAACATGAAAATGGCCAACATCAGACTTTGCTTTGTTGTAGAGTTGCAAGTTCAACAACTTTATGACTATTTTACATTTATCCTTCATTGAATCCACCAAAACCAAGTAAGACGTGTTAAACTGACCATTATTAGAGCCAGTTAAACCTGTAAATTGACTCATATGAGTTAATTTAATCAACACATTATAGATAAAATCAAATTAAATCTCACTGTGACACTGTTAAAGGATGACATAACAACTTTACCTCGCTACTAAGGGACCATTGAAAAATCTATTAGCACAAAATTTTCCCTCAACAATATTAACTATCATTTAATTGACTTTAATTTTACCCGACAATTAAATGGTTTAAGTATGCATTAATGAAATTAAAGCAAGTCTAAAATATCTCAAATATTTTGGTATGTAATAAATGTTACTGTAAATTGATTATTAATACAATGTAAAAGAAGGTAAAAAAAAGGTTTCCTTTTACAATACATAATGCATTTGAAATGGGAAACAAAACAAAGCGCAAACAATCAACTAAAGCAAGACAATTAATCAAAAAAATGAAAAAAAGAGCAACTTTTAATTAAAAGTGAGCAATTGTTTAACAAATTAATAGTTATTAATTTGTTGTTGGTTAATAAGTGGACCGTAAATTGTTGCATATAATGCATAGTTGATTACAATATTAAAATGTTTTATTGAATAGAGTCGAGTAAAGTGAGTGACAAACAAAATTTTTCATTCTCATTGTTTCCAACCATTTTGACAATCAACATCAACAGTCATTACCAATAATAATATAAAAACTAATGTTATTTTAATAAGACAAATATGATTAACATCAAATTTGATTACAATCCAAGAGGCTTTTAATGAAAAAAAAGGTAAAATAAAAATCATTATCAACTCAACGTGAACCCATTTTAAGGGTGAAACCATTGAAGGTAAGATGTAAACAATGTAACCATCATTGTAGGGATGAAGATAATGTTGATGATGATGATGATGATGATTAAAATGATTCTTTGTTTACAATGTTAATATATTGTAAGATTGATTGAGTTTGCGTGACAATCATTTTTGGCTTTTTTTGGGCCTTTTATTTATATCCAAATGTTGACCACACACAGGTTTGTTATATTGCTGTTAACTTGATTTTTTGGTTAAACATTGTAACTCCTTTTTGATTGTGTAATTAAGGACAGATTGAAGTAGCTTTTGCCGTGATTTAAAAAGATACAGAAAAGTTAATAATTAATCAACAAATCACCTTCACAAGCCTTCAATCAAAATTTGTCTTCAACCCAAACTGGTAACCCAAAAGAGACCCAAAAAATATTACAATGAACAAGGCAACCTTTAACCCAATCTATTAATATTATTACACAGAGTAACAAAATTTGCAAACAATTTATCATCATCAACATTATTCTGTTTCCAAAACATTAAACATTATCATCTGTAAAAATTATAATAATGTTGAGTGTAAATGTAAATTAATTTTTAATCAATATCATTATCAATTTATAAGGTAAAACACAAAACAAAACGGACCTGGAAAAAGTTATACGAATTCATTGATAATGGTAAAAATGAAACCATTAATTATTACAATAAGATTTATTCATCAATTATTGAGCCAAAGTTAATTATATTTCGGTAAATTGTTAATATCACTAAGACTTGATTACCTTGTTAATAGATTACACTTTAGTTGATTAATTCAACCTACGTTTAGGATCGTTTTATTTTCTGTTCAACCTTGATAGTCAATGATTTTGTTTCTATTTTGCGAGTACATCAATTTTGTTGATTGCGTTGAATTTAATCAATAGTCAAATTGATCAAATGTAATTAACCAACAAATGGTTCGTTTAAACATTGAACAGTGAAAAAAACAATTGAATTAACCCACAAGAATCGATAAATGGTTGAAAATTTATAATAATTGGTGTCATTTATAGTCTCACTTTGAATGGTTAGCAACAAAAAAACGATCAACAATCATGTATTATATTTAACTCTCTGTAACAATAATATTGATTAAACAATCAAAATGATGGAATAGATGATTGAACAATATCATTTGGATGGAACAATGAAAAGGTAATGAATTGTTTCAAGTTTTTAGTCAACATTCAAAGTGGATGGTTAAATTGGATAGCAAATTAAACTGTTGGTCAATATTGTATCCATGTTATCATCTTGTCGTATCTCCATGAGTTAACTCTGGCAAAATGGCAATTCCCAAGGAAAAATCCATTCCATTTCCAAGTAGATTACAATTTAATCATTGAATGTAGAGTAATTAAAGTGAAGGTAAAATCTTAAGATATGGGAGCTGAGATGTTGCTCATGATGTTGATGATGATAATGGTGGTGAAGGTAAAAGTCACGGTTTGTCGATCATCTTAAAGTCCACTTAAAATTCATCGAAGCGAAATCAAGTCTCACCTAAACCATTATATATTATTATTGTTGTTGTTGTTGAAGAGTTGATGATGACCATGCCTGGATAACCGTTGACCTCTTCTTGGGCTAACACGGCTAACAACACCAATACTAACAACAACAATTAACCTTTAACAATTTAATGTTCGCCTATCCTCGCCTTTCAATTAGCTGTAGGTTTGTTTTTTTGTTGTCCGGTTATTACTTCACATCTTCCTCCACCTTTTTCCTGATCACCTTCAATTGTCAGTCCAGTCTTGTGTGTACCTTTAAAAGACAATAGTTACGCAAAAATTAATAACACGCTAGTTAAAGATTTTAATATAGCAAATAATAGATTACATACTTACAATTGTTATCAACAAAAATCATCAACATAATCATCATTATCGTGTATCTTTTATGTTATTAAAGTAACCGGAAAATTATTCATTTCCCTGATACATATTTCTTTTTGTTTGCTTCAGATTTCTTGTATATTGTTGATAATTAGATGTTGCATTCACTTGTAATCCGGTTTGATTGTGATAAAAAACTTTAAACAGTCAAGTCAAATTGTTGTGAACCAAAAAAGAAATGGCGATCCACCAATTATAACCATTTTAATAGAGACTGGGTTTACATTTACAGTGTCTTTAGTCAACAACAGCTTGTTAAAATACATGATATTTCATCTGCATAAGTACCAGTATTTGTATCTCATGTTTACACTTGACCAATTATTTTAAATTAAATTAGATGCGATTTTTAGAGCTGCAAATGAACCCATTGATGGATGCTGTTGTTGTTGTTGCTGTTTTGTGGTAATAATAATGAGGGAAGGTTAAATTGAAATCAATTGAGTTGATAATTTAGGGTAAATCACTGGAAAGGAAAGTTTGTAGTTTCAATGGGTTTTTAATGTAAATTGGTAAAGGTAAAACACAGATATGATGAGCCATAATTAAGAAGGAGAAAGGTTAAAATGGTTGAAGAGAAGGATATGATGATTATAATTATATTTTAGGAGTGAAATGATGATGATGATAAACATGATGTGGATTATGATTATGATAAAAAATGGTTAAGATATACATACATTTAGAGTTGTATTGTTGGCTGTGTGTAAGCATAACCGTTTAGGTTGATAGATAGAGTTAAAAGAGGCACCTAAGAAATGGCGAGGAAGAAGAAAAAAGAGAAAATTTAAGTTAAATAATCATTTTGATTATATTAAATAATAAATCAAATGTGAACAAATAATAAGAATGGTAAAGGGAAAAACAAATTACAATCAAATAAATTACTGGTTACTGGTCTTTTCACATTTGTGTTAACCCAACAACAGTAAGAGTCAAGAGTTAAAACAAAACAAAAACCAGAAAACAAAAAAAAAATCAAAAATGGCTTACCCTGGTTATGGCCTCAACGGATTCAAAATGATTTTTTGGTTTCTCTTGGCTATCATCAAATCAATCTAATTCATGTTGATTTCAAGGAGAGGTTTATTAAACAATTAGATAAACACAAGATGTAGTTAATTTAAATGATGTGAATGATTACCTTGATTATTGCTAGTTACAACCATTTGTAATGTTTAACCTTTCTAAATGTAAATATTGAACATTGTGCAATGAATAAGGCGCGTAAAGAAGGCTTGAAGCGCGAAGATTGAATGGCAAAAAATTGTCAAATTATAAAAGGGTGTGTATTGTGTGTTATATGGTCATTTAGATTAATCAATCAAAATTAGTTTAAAATCATGTTGATATACAAGGTGATCGTCATCAACCCCATCAACAAAACCAATATTAGCAAAATCATTATCATTACCAGCAACATTAACAAACAATCATATCAATCATTGCTCTTGACCAGATTTCAATGCATAATTATAACCCTATTAAATTGGGTAAACATTTTGGGAACCCAAAAATTGATAACAATTGAAAGTGTATTTTAAATGTGAAATAAGCAAAACCAGATTCAAAGAGCCAACAAGTGAACAGGCCAATAACAGGTGAAAATATATTCAAGTTAACCAGAATTGATGGAAACGCCGTGAACCCTGCAATTGAAACTATAATTACATTGAAAGGTAAGACAATTTGGTAAATGTTAAACTGTTCAAATGTCACTTGGTTGTTGCCGATTAAAAATACGAGTTAAATCACACCATTTTAACCTGCTTTAGTCCAACCTTTCAAGCTTAGTTTGCTTCCCAATATTATCATGTTTACATTTTACATCAAGGTTATGTTTGCCCAAATTTTTGTTATTTTTGGGTTCCTTTTTTTAACTTTAACATTATGTTAGCCATTCAAAAGCTTTCCTCTCATCCTTCTTATCCTTATCATCATCAAAGTGATGACAAGCTAATCCAGATCCAATTTAAAACTGCAACTCAATTGTAATAATATCATGAATAGCAAGGTTTTTTTTTTCAACCAAAATCCTTGACAAACATTTCAATTACCTGGAGCAGTTAAACTCACCAAAACCTGTAACCTGGATCAACCTATTAATACACAAATTGTTCAATGGTCTTGATTGTTGTCAATTGTTAACCAACAAAATTTACTCCAAAATTTCCAGGTAAAGGGAGAGAGAGAGAAGTGAAAAAAAAGATGAAACAAACAAAGAGAATCAAGCTTTTCATCAAAACCCTGGAACCATTTAAAATGACAAACAAGTCAGATTGACCAATGTAATATTAATAGTAACCTTACTTTCAAGTTTCAACAATTTTCCTATTCATAACTAGTTTAGTTAATTTGGCATTTCAGGCCAACATAAAAATCTAATCACGTATCTTAACCTTTATTATCATTACTAGCATTTACTGAATCAGATAATTTGTTTGTTTTCATTTCTTAATGTTGATTTCAGTTACTGATTCAAGACTCATTATGGTGTAAAAAAGAATCGTGAAAATGATGTAAAAACAAAAAAGGCCAATGAAACCAATTGAAAATGTAAAGCAAAAAGTCATGATTTGTTGCTCTTCAATTGGACTCTTAAAAATGGACTTTACCTTGTCAAAGAGATGATGACCACTGAAAGACATCAAAGCTGGTTAAATGGTTTGGGTTGAAACAGTAATCATTGAAATGGCAATTTAAGGTTTGATTGTAAATTGAAAATAGATTCACAGCAAGAAAGGCCCAATTCAAGTATCAATTTGACTTCGGTTTGTTCAACTTTTCAATATCTTTTCAGGCTTAACAGTTAATCTGATTTTACTTTTTTTTACCTCTAAATTGTGATTCCAGTGCCATTTTTTGATTAATATTGTGACTGATTACTTTTACTGAACAAAGGTTCATTTCTTAAATGATAAATGAAGGGTGGAAACTGTTAAATCAACTTTTCATCATCTTAATGTTTCAAAAAAAAGATCAACATTTTGCGCCTTTGCCGTATCCTAATATTTAAAATAATAAGCCGATGAGAAAAGGTAACAAGAAAATGAAGCAAAATGAATTTTTCCCATTTGTCTCTATCATCTGTTAACCATCATAATCAAGCTTATCAGGTATAAAAGGTTGACGATGTTAGCATCATGAAAGGGTGTCTTTAAATTGTCAAGATTCATAGTGTAACAGATAAGGTGCCTTAACTTGACCCAAATGAAACCACAATTAAGGGTGAAGCTAATTGATTTAGTTAACCATATCCACAGTTTTTGATGAGATTGGTGAAGATGAGGAGGAGGAAGAAGAAGGCAGCAGAAAAAAATGAAAGGAGCAAAAGGATAATGATATTGGTTGGTAACAGGCAAAGGTAGATGAAGATGATCAACAACAAGAAAAAGGTTGATAAGAATACACCTTTTCTTATACAACTGGGAGATGATGATGAAGGAAGGAAGATGAGGTGAGAGAGAGAACGTGATTTGAAACCTTCTTCACTTTAATTCGCGTGTAAACTATCATGCGAATCAATTCATTTCATTTTTTCTTCTTCTTCTTCTTCTCCCTCTTGATCATCATAATCATCCTATTTTAAGGTGAGGCTTTTGTATGTATGAGTGTGAGAGAGAGGCTCGGAATGAATATGTTTTCCTGAGCAATCACATCTATATGAATGGTTCATGGTGTGTTTCACATTAGCTTCTTGTTTAACCAGCAATTGGTTTGCCTTTTTGTTTTTGTTCAGTTTTTTTCTTCTTCTTCTTTATATTTTTCTTGATAAACATGATGAAGATGGTGAAACTGCTGTCAGTATTTCATTTTGAATTAATATTTTTATTACTGTTCATCATCTTTGGTTAAGATGATGAAGATGATGAGGTAAAAACGGTAAACATGGCGTACAAGACACGTAAATACGCCTTACCTGAGTCAATACTTATAATTATGTTGCATCTTACAGCTTTTATTTTTCAACTCAAAACTTCTGTTTTTTGTTCATTTGCCGTTCTTAATGCATCAATTAATGATATCTTGTAATTGCATGTTTAATTGTAATAAAATTTAATCATTTAATCTCATCTTATTCAGGTAATTGAGACTTTAATTATCCAACGGGTTCATCATTTGTTTTTTGCCTTTTTTACACTTTTACATCAATTGATACTCTATATTTGTTTACTGGTTGTCATTAATTGATCATTTGGTTGATCATTTGGGTTCCTTGCGATTACAGATTTTGTTCAATTGTGTCTATTTGCTTATAAAGTAATTCATCTTAATGGTATTATAAGCATTATGATTATGTATTACGAGTAAATTGTAAGATCAAACTCAGCAACTTTCATTTTAATCTTTACGATTGTCTGTTAAACTATTGATAATTGAATTGGATTGTTTTTTGTTTTCAATCATGTCAGCAATTTGTTAATAATGATATTTTATAGCCTCAAATTGCTATTTATATTAACAGTTTTCGTTGTAATAATATCTTCTTCTCATGTTTAACATTATAAATAATGTCAATCTTTTTTCTTCTGCCAAGTTTGGCAAATTAAAAGCTATCATTAATGACCATTAAATGGAGGAATCAATTGATTGAGACAATTAATTTAGAGGATAATCTGATCAATTGCAAGATTTGAATATGGGCCAGTTGATGTATCAATGTTATTCAAATTGATAATTATGTTCAATGTTTTGTTTGCGTGGTAAATAACAGCAATCAATTCAAAGTGAAACATTGACATGTTAATCCAGTACATTTGTTTGTAATAAATAACCAACAATCAAATTGTATTAAATTGTATCCAATTGTAATAAATTCAATTTTCCATTTGATGTACAATTTCAATTTTACAGGTTCAATTTGATCAATGGCTTTTAAACGTTAACATGAATTCATCAACAGCATATAAAATATTCATAATAGTTTGTGCCGTTTGTTGTTCCATCCAATTGTATAAGATCACAAGAGTTTATTTGGACTACAAAACTCGAACATACATCGATATATCTTTCACTCCACAAATTGAGATTCCTGATATAACCTGGTGCACTCAATTTTTATACACAATCAACTGGACCCACTGGTTGATTGAGCACCGCCAATTGAAACCAGAAGATTGTAGTCTAGATGATAATGACACCATTGCGGTTAATCAAATTAAAAAGTGTTTTGATAAGATGGGACAATACGCGTTCCAAGCTTATGTAGAGAAGCACTTTACTGTGGATCGATTTTACAGGACAATTGTCAAGTCGCACTCTGTGATTAATGGCGTGTTTTTCTGGACTCAGTTTGGTGAACTGAATGGATTGCAAGACTTGAATGAGGAAATCATCTGCCAGACTAAAACATTCATTAGAGATCCTCAAGTTTGTTACCATGTCGCCTGTCGAAACAAGAGTGACCCTAACAGACCACTTTACTTTGCCAAGAATAGATTGAACATGGCATCGAATATTGGTTCGCTTTACCAAGTCAGTGTATTGCAAGAGTACTTCAAACGCTGGGAACATATTTTCATCTTTATTCATTCACCACTCTTTTTACCTCACGGCTTCGAGATATCTCACACAATTCTTAGCGGAGTGGATCAGCCATCAACATATTACTTGCAGTTCAGAAGGATGATTGTCAATCTTCTTCCAGCTCCATATAAATCTAATTGTATTCAATACCGTGATTCCAAAGGGAAACTCCAATCACAGGCGCAACATTACGAGCAATGTGTCAACAATAAGACTCTACAATTGGATCCTAGTTTAGTTTTTTATCGAACACTCATTGTCGATCCAAATAATACGAAGGCTCATTTCGTAAATAGACTAAGATTCAAACCAAAGTACGCTGATCTTTTAGAGGAAATCCATGATACGTGCAGACAAGTAACTCTAAACTCTGAGTGTCGTAAATTGTTTTATGCCACAGCACTGATTGGCTATGAAGATTTGATCAACTCAAATGCAACTCTCTTTACGATCATGAATTCAGTTGAACCCGATTTGAATAAAACTACTATAGCAGATTTCCCGTTGGGTTCCTATATAATATACATTGGCTCCACTCTTGGTACTTGGTTTGGGTTCAGCATGTATCACTATTTTCATGTAATCTATAATAAATTGAAGCCACTAACTGTAAGACAGGAGAAGAGGAAGAAGAAGATGAATAAATTGGTTAAACATAAAGAGGGTAAAAAAATGGACTCCGTTGGGGTTTCGTTTATAAACTTACATGATTCTCAACGCACCATTCAACCATACATTGAGAGCATAAAAAGACCAAAGCAAAGACAATAGCGTGGTGATGGATGAACCGAGTTACAATAAACTGAAACCAAAATTGCTGATTAACTCACTCTAATCACTCATATCAAATTACCGCAATTTAACAAATATCAATTTTAACAAACAAAAACAAAATAATGAAAGCAACGGTTTTTAGGTTTCCCTCGTTCATCTCGAAGCCATCCTTTGTTTACTAATCAACCAGCAGGGTTTGTCTCTTAATCACAACCCCTCAACTTGAAACGTTATCAACATCAATTAATAACACAATCTTGTGAAGTCTTGAAACCACTGATAATTAAACAATTAGCTTAATTGTGTAAATTAAATTTTCCAATCTCAATTTTGCCTCAAGTTTACCAAACCCAAAGACAAAAAAAATTACATTAATACACTTGAGTGAAAAATAATTTTCACACTCTCAGCGTGAATTATCGCAATTAACAGCTAAAACCAACTGAATGGTCCAATATTAATTACAAAAGTATCACCATTTATACTAACAATTATCACATTTAGCAATTTAAAATGAAAATGTGAAATAATCAACCCTTTTTAATCAACTCTGCGAATCTGAAGGAGAGAGAGAGAAAAAAGATTTTTGTTTTTTGCTTTTCATTGTTATTCAACTTATTTCACACAAATCTTCATTCATTATCAACAGCATCACCATTAATATGCCATTATGATTATCATTATCATCATCATCATCATTAACATTATTAACACTTTATTATTATTACAATAACAATTGACCATTTAAAATGAAATGAAGGCTTTTCTTTTTCTTGTATACTTCATAAGCTGTTTAACTTTCAACCGACTGTACATTATAATCAACGTCATTGCACGGTTGCTGTATTTATGATTAATCAAGATTACATGAGCGTGATTGTTTCAATCATGTGTTTAATACAATCCTTGTAAAACTGATTGATTATTTAATGTTGGTCAAAATTTCAAGCAATTCACAAAAATGTAAAACTCATCATTGGTACAAAAACACTGACAATCCAGTGAACACAGACAATCTGGTGAAAGTAAGAAATGATAGTTGCATCGTAATCAAGTTGATTATAAACCAATTCAAGTTATCACCATTGAATTATCAAATTATCCATCAACCTTGTAACAATTGAACAACTTGATGCAATAAAATGTGATAAAAATGCAAGTGAAAAGTCAACAAGTAACAAATCAATTGCAAGCAATCAATTGCAAGCTAATAAAGGTGCAAAAAGGTGATTGTTATTAACGGTTTTGGTGACAAACATGTTGATTAAGGCAATGATAATGGTCTATTATGGTATTATCATGAAAATTATCATCATTATCCTGAGTGTTTACTTCCGTTTTCCCTACACTTTTCAATCTAAGCAACTCAGTCAATCATGAAAATGCACAAATGAAATGAGTAAATCAAATAACAAAAAATTGATAAAACCCTGAATAGAGCAACAAAAAAAGACGAGATTGAAAATGAATGTCAACATTGAATAAGCGACTCGCCTTGTTTCAACTGTTGCCCTGAAAGATGGACAGATGAATCTAAAATTATAATAAGATGATTTATATGATTGTCAACATTAGTTCATGGTTAAGATCTCCTGTTGATTGTTTAAATTGTTTCATTAGCTGGTAAAATGATATAAAAAAATGTAATATAAAAAGGCTTAACCTTGCCCAATTTGTTGCTGCTGCTGCTGTTAGCTGATTTTTTTGGTTCCCTTGATTGTTACCTTCATTATTGGTCAGTGCGTGTTTGGGTTAAAGCTTGTTTCCCATTTACAATTGTTGTTATATATCTACTGATTCCTCTCATTGTAGTTAGTATAATCATAATAATAATAATAACTTATTTATTGCAATTATTATTATCTTTGATGCAAAAAGCAAACCTGTTGACCTTGCATTTTCTCAGTCTCTTTATTCTGAATTTTACCATGCTTGGTGTACATTTATACTTCATGATATCAATATATTTTTCTTCTTCTTCTTCCCATTAAACATTATTAACATTATTCCAGCTATTATTAGTATAATTATTATTATTTATTTTTTATTTTATCAACTTGCAATTTCTCAGGTTGACAACCATTGTACTTAATATACCTTCCCTCTAAGCTGTTAAGGCCTAAGCTTTTTTATGCTGTGTAATGATTACTTGTAAGACTTTTGATTGTTAATTTTTTTATTTTGCTTTTCTTTTGCCTTTAATTTTAATTTTGTTGCTTCTTTTTTTTTATTTTTCTCATGTTAATCTGCTTTAGTTGAATAATTATTTGTATTAATTATGTTGCTCTTTCATCGTCAGGTTGTTACACTTTCAGTTAACTCTTTTTTTGTTTGTGTATCCTGTTAATATACCATGTAAACATCAAGATCAAGTTTCTCCGGGTTAAAATCATCTTTAGCTTCTTCTTTTTTTCAATTTGTGATCATATTTACAGAAGATGGTTGATAATGATTTTGACTGGCTTGGTTCTTGTAGTTTGCTTGCTTACTTATCTGCTGGGAAGACTGACTAAATGCAACAAATGGTGGATGTTAATAATAGTACAATGCGAGTGAAGACAAAGTCACAATTTGATATTAAATAAACTGACATTTGATTCGACAACAACTGGTAAAATACAATTGGTAATACAATGCACTAAACTTCACATAATAATTAATCTTATCTGTTTTCTCTCTTTTCTCTTTCATCATCTCATTGCTAATTGTTTGCTGATAGTTAATTGAACCTAAAGAGCATATATGATTGTCATCGATGAATGGAGCAAAATAAGCCAACACTGGAATCAACAAACAGTCAACAGAGGGAACAATCAGTTTTAATCAAATGTAAAGGGAGGACTTAACCAACTTGAATTTTGCCGTTTCGTTTCCTTCTTTTTCATTGGGTTCATCCTTTGCTCGTGTACGCTTTTTTATTCAATTTGAAAGAGAGTACAGTATTCGTCAATTAATTTCATTGCATACTTTCATCCTGATTGTTGATGGTGATGACAATTATAATTAATTATGTATTATCACCATGAACCACACCTATTAACCGGTTATGTTTATTGCAGTTAATTTTCAATTGTGAATAGCAACATCAACGGCAAACAAAGGAAAGCCATTAGGAAAAAAAGACAATGTTACTCTTTTTTTGCATTGCAATAGCAGGTTCAGTCGTATGTTTAGTTGAAATTGTTAATTAAACAGAAATTTGAAACTGTTTCTATTACAATCAAATATATATATTATATAACAACAGAAACAACAACAGCAAAAAAAATAGTCTGTAATGATCAAATAATGTACCATATAATATTGCTGTAACAATGATAGCAATAATAGTTATCAATTAGAACCAATTTAATGATCATTAACGTTTGTTTGTATATTAAACAACAATAAGTTGCTCACCATTGTCAATCTAAGTTAACCAGCTAATCCAACTAAATTAGCGGGTTAATTGAAGTGAGTCAATAATCATTATGGTTCAGTCTGGTTAGCTAATTGAAAATTGTTCAACATGAAAAATAAGCCCAAAAATTGTGCATAATTATGAGAAATGAACAAAAAAAAGGGAAACTAAAAAGTTATCTAAATATATCTTTGAATAATAGCGAGTCAATGAACCATTGCAGCTAATTGTTGAACGTCAATGTCAATGGTAAAGTCTGGCAACAATTTAAATTTTCAAATGACCACAAGAATCAAATGATTTGTGTAAAGCAAAAAATGAAACAATCAAAAGTAAAGCAAGCAAAGCAAGTGAAAAAAAGCTCAACCAACAAGGAGGATAAACAACTGTTGACAGTTAAATAGTTAATAAATCATTCACGGGTGTTGATTATCAATTGTTGTGTTTTTTAATTTCTTTTATTAATGTTACACAATTTAATTTAAAACAATTTATCATGAAAAATAAGGAGTAACGCCAACAATGAGACAAAATCTGAAGGATGTTGAATCTGCAGGCAACTCCTTATACTGGGATGATTATGTAGTTAGTAATAATACAATTTTGATGTCAACAGTAATTTCAATGGATGATATAATGATTATCAAGTTTCAATGGAAACAATTGATTGGCATAAATAACATTATGATAATCATGGTGATGATGCTGATGAGGATGAATGTTGTTGATGATGAAGATGATGATTATAATGATGATGATGATGATGGACATACAAAAAAAGAGTAAGCTATTAATATAACAATGTAATCCTCATCAGAATTGGTTACAACTGCAACAAATAAATTACCATATATTTGATTATAATGTAGACCAAAATGACCAATGTAAGTAGCTTATTGATGATGGATGTAAGTGGAAATGAGGACACAGAAAATGATGATAATTCTGTCTTTTTTAGGGTCTTCTTCATGTCTTAGCTTGGAATCATGTCCATCTTCTTGAATTGTTGTCTCCAGCAAAAATATCTGTCAAAAAGTAAATAAAGAAAAGTTGATTAGTTAATTGTAAATAGATATTGTCAATGTTAATGTGACACATTCAATGTTGAACATTTTCATGAGCTCTTTTTTTCTGGTTGAAAATGATGAAAACTGTAATCCAATTGTATTAATGTTCAAGTTTAGCAACAAATGATTTGGTATTGAGCTTTTATTCATATCTAATAACACTTTACATTTTTTGGTTTTGTTTCATTGTTGCTAATCAACTTTTATTGTTACTCCTAACTCATAATGAACAGTTTGAATGAAAATCAATGAAAAAAAATGTTCATCATCCAACAGTTGCGATTCGTGCATTATATCACGATTTTAACAGCCTCAATGTTGATTACAATTAAAGCTAATTATGCTTTAACAACAAATTTGTTGTTCACTCGTTTAGTTTCACTTTATTTTTCATTCCTTGTATGGATATTAATAGTTGATAAAGATAACTTTATCCCATCATGATAATGGTCAGTATATTATGCTCATTGTCCATTAAGTTTCAACCAAAAAATAATTACATTAAAAGTGAACAACCAATATTGATTGATCAAGAAAAAAAGCCTCTAAAGGTTAATGCAACTCTAAAAATTGATCAAACATTCAAAGTGAAAACAATTGAAATGCAAAAAAAAGCAACTTTACGTTGAAAAAAACGATATTAATTCATATTGACTTGAAATTGAATGAAGATGAAAAGATGAAGAAAAAGGAAGAAGATGAAAACCTTTGTACAATGCAATTTATTTGACTGTTTAAGGCCGGTTTTACAGCTTCTGCAACTTAAGACGTGACCAAAAGCCTTATAAACGGTGAGTCCATTAAATTCAAATTGCTGACCATTTTAAACCATAATTAACATAACATGAACTTAATCTGCCTTTATGATGATTATTTTCATCGTCAACATCATCTTCATCTTAAACCATTTGCTTTCAAACCATTCATTTTCAATTCACTTGTCGACTGTGATTCTTAAAGTTTCATCAACCTTTTCCTACTTGTCTCATCCCCATCATCTTATCATTATTATTATTATCAACCTCATCATCATCATAATCATTGTTGTTGATTATCTGTTGGTTACAATTAAGTTAACCTTCACCCTGAATAAACAAACAGGTAAAGCAATGATAGCATTAAAGAGTTAAAGAGTTTCAGAGAAAGTGTTAAATAAATAATAACAACAACATGAATTGAAATGAAGGAAAACAAAAAAAAATTAATCACCATTTAATGTATTATTAACTTAAACCAACAATTTAGTTAATCACAGTTTTTAAATTGTAATTTGAGTTGCAGTTAAGTTTCATTTTTTTTCAATGACAATTTAACTTCTCACAATTAAAAGGCAACATTTAGCAAGAAAACCAGAAAACAAAAAGAGATGTAAATTGATGTCATTTCAGGTTTTAATTGCAATTTTTACCATTCATTAGACCTTTCAATCATAACTTCAGGTTGGCTTTTCATTGACTCTTCATGTTATCAATTGATTTTATTAATAGCAATCAATTGAATTGTCTTTATTTGAACAAGAAAAACTTGTCTACGTGTTTGATGACATTTGCTCAATAACCAGCGATAAGGGAAACACTGAGACTGATTATGGATTAGATTAATTGCAAGACACATTTCACCATTGATTACAATCAAAAGTGAAACAATAGAGTTGAGAGAGACTGCAAATCAATGAATAAGACTTCCGTCTAATGAAACAACCAGATACAATTAATCAAATTGTGAACCTGTAAAGCAAACAGTCAACAAGTTGAACCAGAAAACAAAAACGGTAAAGAGGATGAAACAATTGAAAATTGAAAAACTGGTCAATATTTGGATATTCAATTGTAAAAACCGTTTCTACTAAACCTTGATTTAACCTGACAATTTAATTGGGATAAAGACAAAAAAAGAAAAATCAAATTGAACAATTAAAAGTCGAGAAAAATGTTTACAAATACAATCGACAAAATAGATCAAGTTATTGAACTTAATTCACTCAATATTTCCTACTTTCATCTTTAAGTGTCTACTTCAACAAGTCTGGCCTAGCAAATTATCAATGTTAATCTTACAGGGAAATTTTTGTCTACAGTTTCATGGCGTGATATCTTGAAGCTCCTTTGACAATAACATCAAACTAATCAGTCTGACAATATTTTTACGAGTTATGAATCAGATAATGAAAGTTAAAAATGAGAAAAGGCAAGAAAAAGGTTTCAAAAAATTCATCTCTTGTTTGTCTTTGTATTAATATGAAAAAAAAGGGTAATCATAATGACCAAGTTGATATATCAACATGAAAAACGCATCAGGGACTTTGAAATGAGCAAACAATTTCAAGTCAAGTTATCCCCAGGGTGTAACCTGTACATTATCTGATGATTACAATGAGAGGAAAAGGTTGAGAAAGAGTTGATCATCCTCATCAACAAAAAATAACAACATAATAACAATAATAATGATCTTAAAAAAAAGAGTTGGGAAGAGAGAGCAAAGAGGAAAGGGAAAAAGAAATGTCAACCTTTTCTTGTTCTCTTGATGAATGCATGGAAATGATGATGATAATGATGATATTATCTGGTGTTACTTAATTAGCCTTGAGGCAATCAAATTAATGATTTCATGATGAACAACGAAAGAGCATTAAACAATATAACTAGACTTTTGGATAGCACACAAAATGAACCATTTTACTGTTTTTTTTTCATTGTGACTCAACTATTGTACAAAATCAATTGTCACCAATTTTACTATTGATAACATTTCAATGAATCTGATTCAATTGATTCCTTGGTTATCAGGTTGAGTACTAATGAGTTTTCAGTAACAATTGAGAGCGAAAAAGGTAAAAAACATTTTCCAGCTTTTTATTCAAGTTTGCAAAAGCTTGAAGTAAAATGAAAAGTAAATCAAAAGGCAAATTAGGAAATTCAAAAAATTTAGAAATTTGGAAATTCGAAATTCGGGTTCACTGAAAAGACAAATGATGACATTCAACTGTTTGATTGGGTCAGATTGGTTTTGCTATTTTTGTAAATCTCTCAGAAAATGAACTTCTGTTTAGCAAGTTTCAGGTGAAATTTTTAGATGAAATTTCATCAATTTTCATGAACAAATCATTCACTGATTGCATCAATTTACCGACAATTTTCTCATTGAATTATCTTTTGCTGATGATAAGTTGATGGGAAACATTATCTGTTCATTTTGCATGAGAGTGGCAACAATTGAAACAAGGAACACACATAACCTGAAAATTTGATTAACGCCATTTGCGGACATTTCATTGAACCTGAACAAAATAATTCAACAGGCGATAAAGATCATCTTTTTAAATGGTAAACATTGTTTTAATAAGTAAAGTTTATCACCAAGTCACACGCACTGCAAACAAAAGATGTAACAAGTTTGTTTTTTTTCACGAGTCAAGATTAACTTGATTATTACTGTTTGATTAGCATGGACAGTAACACCATTGTTTCAGGTAAAAAAAGAATCTTGACTCAAACTGCTCTTCCAACACACAATCAACAATTTGGTCAACTCTAAATATCGATTCTGGTCCTCTCTGTGATTCTGTTGCTAACGAGAAGGGAAAAAAAGTCTTGAAAATTAATTTCAATTTTTTCACTTAACTTACTAACTCACCTTTCTCATTAATTCAAAAGTGCAACAAAAACAACAAAAAAAATCAATCCTTAAATTCAGGTAAGGCAAGGAAAGGAAAGAAGAAACTCATTTTTCTTCTGCTTTTTTTATCAATCAACAATCTTTTTCTCTCTCTCATCATCACTTCATGAATATCATCAACTGCAATCTCAAGAATCTATTCAAATTATCTTTCACTTGATTGCACGTCCAACATAAACCCAACTTTTCACCATTTCAATCTTATTCATTTTTCAGGTTCATCTCTCAACTGTATCACCAAGAGTTGAAATGAAAAAAAAGCTCATCATTATATCATCCATAATATAAATATAAATATAATATCATCATCACCATCTGAGAAACTGTAATTTTGACAATTTGATTTGTCATCATCATCATAAGGAAAGGTTGAGATGCATAATGAATGATGAAAAAAAAGGTAAAATTTCAAGAAACTATGAAAAAAGGTTTGAAATAGCAAAAAAAACCAGTTACAATATGAATACTGTATTGAAAATGATAGAGCAACATTCACACTCTTTCACAACAACCATGGCCAGTTTCTTGACCTTAATCACAATCTTTTTTTTCATTAAACTCAATTTGATGTTACTCAAGTCAATTGTTGAAAGGCTATTGTCCAAGAAATGGACGAGTAAAACACTTTTCTAGAGTTGACCAGAAATTCATCAGCAGGTTCATTGAAAATTGCAACTTTACACTAATCTTGATAGCATTCATTAATATTATCATTTTCACATATTCATCGTCGTTTACCATTAATCAAACAAGATTGAAACCATGAAGATGGAAAAGAAGAAGAAGAAGAAGAAGAAAAACTAAAAAGAAGAAGAAAATCAATCAGCAAAATGTAACAATTGATAAGCAAACAAGTTATAATGTTAAAAATATTATATATTAATACTTGTTCAATGTTTCAATGGATAGCTTTTTTCTGGTATCAATTTTAAATTGACTATTTTACCTCATTTTGACAATAATAATGATAATAATGGCAATAATTGATGGTATTTCAACATTTGTCAGTGTAAATACAAAATGAACCAAATAATAGGGAGAAAAAAGTTCAATTTTCATCGTCACTATTCCCAGATCATTTGTTTGTAAATATATATCTATGAATGTGTTCACAATGTAAATATATATCATCATCATTATTATCAGAATTTGTTACCTTTTTGGGGTGTTATACGGATCAGAATCCATTCTGAAAAGTTTCCTTTTGTACAAATTGTAAACATCGTGAATTGTAAAAGAAGAATCACGAAACAAGTGTCTTAAAAATCGGGTAGCAATAAATTTAAACCAATCACTATAACGTCTTCGAAGATGCAGGTAAATCACAAAAGTGGGCACAATTGTCTTTTCACCTAGCTTCACGTAACCAATGGTCTGAGGCTTGTGATTTTCATCCTCCAAACTGATATATAACAGGCAGCCTTGAAGACCACAGGGCTCTGTCTCGGACATACCAATAATATCCTGGGCAATTTTTTTGGTTAAATTAGCAGGTAAATCAGACTCACTTTGGATAACCTTTGTCTGTTTTAACACTTCTTCAATTCGCTTGGCGATCATGGTGTACACTGGTGTACTGGTGTACTGGTGGGTAAATACAGTTAGACAAGGGACAAAAAAAATTGATGATGATGATTCAAGGAGATAAAACGAAAAGAAAGAAAAACAACTGTTCTTCTTCTTCTCCTTTTACACTAACAGCATCTAAATATTTTTTGTTGTCAAGAGGTTTAGGTTGAAGATATAACGGTGGCGCTAGCATCGTGTTGCTATGCTCTTTGTCGGTCTTTCTTTTTCTCTTTCTTTTTATGCCTCTTTCTTTCCCTTTCTGTCTTTTCCTTGTTCCTTTGTCTCTCTTTCTCCTTTACTATCTTTTTTTACTTTCTTTGTTTCTCTTTCTTCTCTACTCTCTTTGTTGAATTTCTTTGTTCCTTTATGAATCTGAGTTACATCGGGCGGACCAAATAGCTAAATTTAAATAGCCAAAAATTAAAGGTCTCTACTTGCGAAACAGTCAAATGTTTGTTTCGTTTTTTATCAATTTGTGCTTGGATTAATGTCGTTAATTTAGATTGGACGAAACTGTCAAATTTAATTACTTACATAGCACCAGAACGAAATGCAAATCTAAATTTAGGTAATTTGGGTTTCAGACTTGATTGGATATTTTGAATTTCCCTTCTTTGTTTTGCCTGTCAGAAAGGATCAAACGTTTCATCATCATCTTTGTGTTGCTAGGTCAGAGATTTTTAAACAACAAAAGACACTTGATAGCGATTGTTGCTCGATTTTTAAAGGGAAATCGATTTTATTGTTGGTAAAAATCAAAGGGAAATTGGGAAAATCGGGAAATTTCAATGAATACAATCATGAAAATTGACCAAATCCATTAAATTACAAATTAACCAGCAAGTGAAAGAGAATGGAATCGAAAATTTTTATTGATCAAAATTGATCGTTACTCTTGATCTGTATTGTCATTTCCCAAAAATCATGATTTATCCTAATTTTTTATCGATTTGTTTTCCTTGGTTATGATGTATCGATGTCCTTTGTTTACATTAAACGCCATCTAGTGGCTATCGTGTCAACCATAGACTTGAATGAAAATATCGTTTTTGATTTAATGATGAATTGTAAGAATTTTTTTATCAATTTTGTAGATTCAAGGGCGATTGGATGATTTCCTTAAGCAACTGTTTCAATTAATTTCGATTATTTACACAACATCTCTGAGACTTGTTGATTTTATCTGTTTGTAATTTGTGTAAGTTATTGCGACTGTGACTTTATTTTCATCACCCTTTTTAATTAAACCATTTTCATCTTTTTAAATAATTTTCATTTTAATTGCTCTCTGATTTTACTGTTCAAGTAAAATTGATCAAGAACCAGTTAGAGACATAAGTGAACCTTATACAAATGCATTGCTGCTTTATTGAAATTGTGACTTCATTGTGATGTACTTGGCAAAAATTGCCTTTTCAACTTTGACTCTAGTGGAGCTGAGAGCTGAAAATCACACAATGCATTGATCCTGTTTAAAGGTTACAGTAAGGGATGTTTGTTGCTAACTTGCAAGGCAAATTGAGTCTAAATGTAATGAAAAATTAAATGAGAGCTTCTTTAACCAACTGTATCTATTTTTCTTGTTGTTGCTGTTGTTGTTGTTAATGGTGATGATGAAGATAGCGATCAAGATGAACATTAATGTACAGATATTATGTGGATGATGAGGCAAAGCTGGAAGAGAAAAGAAGGAAAGAGAAACAAGAAGAAGAAAAAAAAGAGTTAATTGAGGTTAAATGCAGTAAATGAATATGCAAAAATAACGAAAGAGTTATGTTTTTGTGTGTTACCAGGAATTAGGAAAGGCAAAAGTGTCAAAGAGTTGCCCAAAAAACACATAAAAATCTTACCCATCATTTACTGTGTAACCTAATCTCTTTAATCTGTTTATCAATTCTTGTTTTTGTTACTTTCTCCGTTCTGCTCTTTGAAGTTCGTTGCCAGAGTAAGTAAATTGTCAACAAGGGGTTCCCTATTAATTGCAAGGTTGACTGACGGAGAGATGAAAAGTCTGCCTTTGGATCTGTGTCAATTGAGTATGATTACATCTTTTTTATACACTTTTCATCTTCTTCTTCCTTATCTTTTTCTTTCTCCTTCATCATCATAACTCGTCATCATTATCGTCATCGTCCTCGTCACCATCATCTTCTTGCTCTTGTTCTTGTTATATTCTGATGCAGCTGCTGTTGTTATGCTTCCACTTCCCCGCAGATTCATTTAAGATTTGCTCCTTTCTGTCACGTCTTGCTCCAAGGTCTACGAATAACAACGGATTCCCTCGGCATTTTCCTTTCCTTTCCTTTCATCATGATTCCATTGAAACAACCAGATCATCGTCACCATCTTCATCTTTATCCTCATCACCATTAATCTATCTCAGAGTCTCTTCCTTCTTTCCGAGTTTACTCTTGTTTCCATGCCAAAAAAGCCAAGCCTGATAACCGGGCAAATTAAGATGATAATATAATAACTTGTGTTGCTTTGTGATGCTTTGATTTGTTTATTTGCTGAGTAAAAATGTAGATATATCCTTAAAGTAATTTAAATATATCTACTATGCATGTGGGAATATGCCTTAGTAATAGCTTTAAATTTCACCATCCATAAGAACCATCATATTCATTATCATCCGCGTTTACCTTGTCTACCTCATCCTCAACCTTCAATGTATTTTAATTTCGCATGTCCTTCGCTCATATTTCTTCTTGTTGCTTGTTGCTGTTCCTCATAATTAGCTTTTTCTTTCCTGGCTTCTGTAGGTTAAAAAAAGAGTGGTAAACAAAGTCAATACAATGAAACCAAATGATAAGCACTTGATCATTATTATAGTCTTCAATTGCAATCTAAACATTATTACTTCATTTGCTCCAAATAGCTTGAAACAAACAACATGTGTAACCAATATCCCATACAATTGAACACGAAAAAAAGAGACAAAAACAATCATTAAAATGAAATTTATGCCTAATAACCAACCTTACCTTAGAAACACATCACCTTCAATTTTGTCTTCCTTACCATTCCTATTTATTGCATCTACTCGATTCAACCGTTTGTACTCCATTTGAAAGAATTGAGAATTTGTAATTAAATACAGATTAATTTTGCTATATATGCTAATCATATAATATAATTTCAATTTGTAATGTATGAAGAAACATTGAACAGGCACCAAGCAATTCCAATGAGTGATTGCATGAACTAGAAGGTAAAAAGGTATTGATCTGTAACGGAAGAAACAAGAAACAAAAACAAAAATTAAAACATTTTATGTTCAAACAATTAAAACGAGTTTTTTGCCTCTTCTTTCACTTACCTAGCTTAATCCAAATTAATTATTTTCTTTAACTTTTGATTACGTGTTTGGAAACAAATTGGTTTATGTGATAAATGATAATGGCATTCCCAATTTGCGGCCAGCCACAACATTAACATTTTCATTTGGCTATTAACAAGAACGAAACACAAAATGGTCGGTTGACTGTGTTAGCACTCTCATTATAGATATTGTGGTTTGCAGCTGTTATTGTCTTCTCGATTAAACCCATTTAGCATCGATTAACTCTGGTAAATGCCATTCTCTTTCCGCATTCACCTTTGCTTTTCACCAATTCGCGGTGATTAAGGAGGGACCAGAGCATCAAAAATAAACAAAGGGCATGCAAGGTCTTTACGGAAGTGGGACTTTCATTACACGTTACGGTCTTTCAAATGTTCACCTTATCCTTTGCCCTACACTGATCATTATGAAATTTTTGCTTTTCATGATAAAAAGATGAAGGTCTTTACTGTCAACTCTACTTTATCATCAGCATTTGTACTGAATACTGTTCCTTAATCCTATCTTGTTGTTGTTGTTGTCACACCTTGTTCCTTAAGCAATCTGTTCACCTTATCCATCCCTTAAAAAGTGTTGCCAAATCCAGTGAAGAGAAGTCCTGAAATCCAGAATCAAAATACAATTTTATCCATCTTTTGTGAATACCAACTTTGCCTGTACCAGTTTGAACTTGATTACCAACCAGTTTGACGTTAATTTGAAAGAGGATAAAAAAGATGTCCACCTACACATTACAATTTATTGTCCATTTTACAATCCTTTGCATGATGTTGGCCATAAATGAATGCAGCCGTAAATTTAGGAAAGGCCTGATGCTTGGTTATCTCCTTTCCTCCAGTGATAACTCAGACATTTTACCACTTCTTCCAATAGCTTTTGGGTGAGTTGTCATGCTTTAATTAACCAGTAATAACCTTAGGGCGAGTGGCAGGAATGTCCAAATGTCTAGAATAGATTTCCATCTTGAACAATGAAACCTGATGAAATAAGAGGAAAAAATAACATCAACTGAGGTTTCAAGCAAATTCTTTAATCCATACGCAGATTAATCAAGATTAGATAGCAAAGTTATAGCTTAAACTATAATAACATTAGATTTACCTTTAATCAACAGAATATAAGAAATATTACCAACCGGATTCACCTAAATCTGAAGATAAAAAGATGTGCATAAAAATGTGTTTTGTTTTGCATAAAAACAATGAAAAGTTGATGATAAAAATATTACCTTCTATTCACCCACAATCTTTCATACGATTTCATACATATGATTAAATTGATCTTTCATAAAAATATATGAATCATAAATCCAGATCAGCAACATCTATTATAGAGCAATATGTTTGCTGATTAATTTTCATTACATTGCCATTAAGAATTGATTATTCTCATGGCAAAAGATGAACAATGAAGGATTTAACAGCTAAATTGATTGACAAGAATTGACATGTTTAATTAGCAAACATTTCAATTTAAGTACACAAATAAATCTGGTTAGGATAATAAAAGATACCAGATATTATTTGGTTTAATTAAAGCCAATCGAGCTCAATTTTTATTGAAAGGGGTGAGTAAGCTACGCCATCTAGCGGGTTTACTGGTAACCATTGACTTAAATCAAAAAATCGTTTTTAATTACAGAACGAATTGTTGAATATTTATCCGTTTTGCTGATTAACTGTGACTGCTGATTGAATGAATGAATCAAGAGCGATTAGATTATTTCCTTAGTTTTAGTTGACTCATTGACTCAACAATCCTGAGACTTGTTTATCTGCTTGTAATTTGTGTTTTTTAATTCAACGACTGTAACGTTATTTTCATTATTCATTTTTAATTAAACCATTTTCATCTTTTTTATTTAATTTCCATTTTAATTGTTCTCCAGTGGATTTGACAAGCTGTTCAAGTAAAACTGATTAAGAAGCTGTTAGAGACACAAGTATCAACTTTACAACCTTTAAACAGACAAATTGACGAACGAGTTTGCGGAGACAATTTTCGGCTTCTCTTCACTAATGATCATCAATTTAATGCAAACATCAACCCTTTCGTTTCATAATTAAACCCAATTAAAAGGAAAAACTTTCTCTATTCCATTATCCAGTAATTATGAAATAAGGTAAGAAACGAAGAAATCAAAATGGCTTTAATTTTAAAAGTGTACATCATTAAGATGAATTGTTTGATGTGAGTGAAAACAGGAGACAAGAAAGAAAAAAGAACCAAGACTTATTAAAATCTAATTGTAATTATCTTTCTGTGAAGAAACGATTAAAGTTGTATTTGATTCACGGAATTAACGTCTTGAAATGAGATTGAATGGTCCACTGAATATTTTAAATGGCGTAGCAATTTGGTTTCTGAGTAAAATATGCTCAAATTACGCTGAAGAAATAATCTTTTTTCAATTTCAATTGGCAAATTAATTTAATCATAATTGTAATTAAACTTTGCCATTCACCAAAGGATGAATAAAATGAAAAAGTTAAAATGAAAACAAAACATACAAAAATACGTTTGATATACAAAACAATGTATATATTGAGGTTTTGTTTGCTGTTTAAATGTTAATTTGTACTGGGAATTAGAGAGATGTTAATTTAGCAACAGAAAAAAACAAATTGATTAGTTCATTACGTCAAATTTAACGATTAAGCTGGTGATAAAGATGATGTTGAGGAAGGACAAGATGATTAAGGTAGTAATCTAATAGAAATAAGGATGTCCAAAATGGTGATGATGATGCTCTGAATGGTCCCAAGGATCCGCATGTATATGATGATGATGTTCATCAAAATGATGATGATGATGATCAATGTGATTGGTTAAATGGTGATTGTCAATATGGTGATGATGATGATCAACATGTTCGACGTGATGGTGATGATTTTCATGATGGTGATGATGATGTTCACTGCAGTCCGAAAAGAAACAAAAAAAGAGAGAGAGAGAAAAAAATTTGATTGTATCAGTCCATTAGAGGTAAGAGCAATTTCCTGATAATCATCATCATGATCATCAGCATTTTCATCATGGCAAAGATCATTACTTTCATTGACATGTTAGAAGCAACAGAAAAAATCATCAATTTGTTTCTAATAATACAATTTCCTAGATTAGACAATGATGATTGATAATTACCATAGGAAATGCAATAGAGAAAGAAAAACAAAAAGCTTTCCTTCCTGGTTTTACCAGATTTAGAGGCATAAAAGGGTCAAAATACAATTTACTTACGGAATTTCAATCTTTTGGTGAGTTATCGGAATAGGAACAGGAATTGGAATTGGATGATGGTAGCGATTCCGTCCGGCTTGAAGTATGGCAGCCAGTGCAGCACCATAAAGCATCTTGGTGCTTGACTCAACAAAACATATGGTTGAACTGACGACACAAAAAGCTATTATCCAATGGCATGATTTCATGTTGGCGCTTAATTTTTGGCGTTCTTTTTGATTAGGATTTGACACTTTGATTATTGATTGTTATTTGAAGTCTTGATTTTATTTGATAATCCTTTTATAACAATAATTTCTCACTCTCTTCCATCTCACTCAATAAATTCAATGCTTGATTAAATCTCTTCTTGTGCATCTTAATCAATCTCACTTTCTCATCATGTTTCAAAATTAATATCCATAACTAACTCTTCCGGTCCTGTTTTTGATTAATTAGCGACTGTCCTCTTTAATCAACTTCAATCCCAATCAAAAATGGTTTGCCACTATTGTCACTGATTACACCGTGTTAATACAGTTTGTTTATCACTCCGACTCTTATACAAGTGACAATTATAATGTTCTTAATTGTTGCCATTTCAACTTGACTTCATTCACTATTCAATTGACAATCAGCCACCAGGAAATTCATTTTAAATTGACCATGATTTAGACTAATTTGAAAAATATCTTTCAATATTAATCCCTATTCAATGAGAGATTAACGTTGTTTCTGAAATCATTTGATAGTGAAATCAATTTGTGTCTACAACAAATGTATAGTCGCTTGAAAATTGTGACTTCAATGATTTACTTGGCAAAAATTGAATAGCATCAGGAGACAATTTGAATTACTATTTACAAGAGTGGAAAACAAACAGCTTGTAATCACTTTTAATTGTAACAGATTATTTGAAATCTCATATTGAGGAGGGACAATTGAAAATGAGTCGAGCTATGATTAGCATGAAAATGTAAGCTTTCATGTATCAACGGAGGTAAACAAAAAGCCAATCAAATCAAGAAAAAAAGTAGTTACAATGTTTTACAATTGTGAACTAAAAAAAGGTAACAATGATATTGAAAAGGTCATTAATTTGAGTGAAAAAAGGATCAAAAAAAAGGTGAGAGACAAAATGTTTGTTTGCTTCATATTCAGAATTGAGTAATTATTTTCTTTTGCCAAACATGTTTCCCTGAAGATGACCATTGCCCCCAATATGACCCAAATATTGGACTCCACCGCCCCAACTGTTCTCTGATTGGTGCCGGACTGCCGCCGGCGCCGAA